CCTGGGTGTGGGGTGTTTTTGTGAAATAAGGAGTGGAGGAGGGGGTGGGATGTGTACGGCGCATGCAGATTACTAGGATTATTATATTTTGTTGTTGCGGTTTCGTATGGTTTGATAACCCAAATTTGAGGTTACATATATAAAAGATTGTATTCTTATTGCGCGAGCGCATTATTGCAGCCTTTGCTGCATAAGAGAAATTGGAATTTGGAGAAGAGGAAGAAGGAAGAAAAGTGATTACAACTTCGCCTAAGCCTCGTTACATCAGTTCGGAATGTTCTCTGGCGGCCTCTGAAGGGTCCCGCGCATTGTTATTTTATTTGTAAACCTAAAATTCTGTATCTGCAGGAGGCTCCCACAAATATTTATTGTTTCACAGAAACTATGCTTCTTTTCTTCGACGACTCAATGATACACCACTGGAACTTGCTAACTTACTGTCTTCACCTTGCCAATGTACGCATTCAGTTTTCCTTTATGAAGCTGTTGGACACATCGTTACAGGTAACTTAGAAATTATCCGTGACCAGCAACTAAAGGATGTTATGCACAAGGGAAGCAAATTCAAATTTACGGTTATTAAAACTGCAGATGAAGTTGTAACGGGTATTTTCAACGCTTCAGATATTTTCATCTTCAGTATGGCAAATCGCACCGGTACCACGATTCCCGAATATGACAACTTCAAAAATAGGGTATTAACTGTGGCACGGTGGCGAACCGCCAACCGTTGCTATCCCTCTCCTCAAGTCAATGTTGTTTTTGGCAGAGCCTTACGTAAGATACACAAACAACTTGTCATAACGTCTGTTGACAAAACGCCAAACAACTACATAGTTATATGCAAAAAATACTATGTTTTACTGCACTGTAATGAGATTGGCTCCAGCAGCTCCAACTACATTCAAGGAAATAGTGTATATAGACCAGTACCGCTTTCCGTCCAACATCTAGTCCTTGACCATCATAAAATTCTAGATAAGTTTCAGCTTCATACCACTGGTAGTGACATACCCATCCGCTTCATCTATGCTATTCCCAAGCTCCACAAAGACCCGTGTGGATACAGATTCATCGCTGCAACAAATAAATTATTCCACCGAAGTCTTTCGACTATTCTGCACCCTGTGTTGGTTCATTTTAAGACTCACTTTCACAATTACTGTACGCAAACAGCTACGCACAGTGGACGGTGCGTTTACTTCGGTATTACCATTTCACTAACTGTGCTGCAAAAGCTCCACACTAGACAGTACGATCGAATATATACACACAGCAGACTTCAGCAACCTTTTCACCAGTCTACCGCATTCTCACATTACTGATAGCCTATTTTATTTTATTGACCTCTGCTTCACCAATGCGAGAAAAGAATACAATATTGTAAGTAAAACCCAGACCTAGTATGTTAATGAATTCACCGATGACGTTATATCTTATACAGAGAATGAAGTCAAGGCGATGCTTCGAATCATTCTTCAAGAGACATACGTACAATTTAGTGACTACATTTTCAAGGAAATACACGGTGTACCAGTGGGAGGTAATGCTAGTCCGGATATTGCCGATCTCAAATTATCAGTCATGAAGAACCGGTTTCTTCTATGAATATCTACACTCATCTTCATCTCTTTCGATATATCGATGATATCCTCACTGTTAATTGCGCTAAGTTTGCTAAAATCGCCGGTAATATCTATGGACCTAACTTGCAACACAACACCACATACTCCGGACAAAGGGCTTGCTTATTAGACCTCGAAATTTCATGC